CAGTCCACCACACAGATACGTGCACACACTTATGCAGACGATCAGGGCTGGGAGGAAAGTAAAACCTGCCATGCAAACGAGCATGGAGATGTAAAACGGAGAGGAGAATTAGAGGGGATCAGAGAATAGCAAAGAGTAAGTCCATTGGCTTGTTTGGAATCTATGATAAATCTATGAATTTCAACATCTTTTACAACCAGGAAATGTTTCCAATAGAAAAGAAAGAAGTTTAATAGCTCAGGGTCTGAGTCAAAAGTACCAGGAAAATCTTAGGATGGCCATCATGCCACGGGCTTGGAAATAAAGAATTTAACAATTGTAGGTAGTTACAGATACATCTGGGTAGGAGAGAAGGATTGCAACTGTCAAGCATCCAAGGGTGACCTGGGTCCGGTGCTTTCTGCAGAGAGCACTGGGAAGAAGGGCCACGTGGAATGGAGCAGACCTTGTGTCCACACCAGCATCTTTGTCAGTGAGGATGCAGCAACAAGTCAGGGCTTCCTTCCCTCTGTCCTCCCTTAGAAGGGAGCTTGTTCTATAACTACACAGAAGCTTCTCTAATTCTGAGATTTCACATAGGTCTAGAATCCCAAAAGCAAATCCAAAAAAGAGAAGGTAGGTTCAAATAAGAAATGTAAAGGGGCCAGGCATGGTGGCTCACGCCTGTAATCCTAGCACTCTGGGAGGCCGAGGCGGCCAGATCACTTGAGGTCAGGAGTTCGAAACCAGCCTGAGCAAGAGCAAGACCCCATATCTCTACTATAAATAGAAAGAAATTAATTGGCCAGCTAATATATATAGAAAAAATAAGCCGGGCATGGTGGCGCATGCCTGTAGTCCCAGCTACTCGGGAGGCTGAGGCAGCAGGTTTGCTTGAGCCCAGGAGTTTGAGGTTGCTGTGAGCTAGGCTGACGCCACGGCACTCACTCTAACCTGGGCAACAAAGCGAGACTCTGTCTAAAAAAAAAAAAAAAAAAAAAAAAAAAAGAAAGCTATGCAAAGGAAAGATGCTACCACTAGATCATGTAAGTCAATGAAAGCAGGAAAATTAAATGTCAAAGAAATATCTAACCAACCACTGAATAGCTGCCAAGGCAGAACTAATAAAACCTGCATTAGGATCTACCAAGATCGTTTCTGTGCATACCATGAAAGACACAGAGAACCAATGCTAGACACCTGGGTAGCTACTTTCCAGAAACTCTGACAACAGGCTGATATTCAACACAGTAGCCAGTTAATGTCTGATAGGCAGTAAAAACCATACTGCCAACATATCCATCTAATTCTTCAAATGTTGTTATCAAGATAATTCCAAATGATATGGTAAAGTTACTGAAAGCTAGCACTCAACTGAGAGTTTTCTGGAATTTGTTCACTGATACACTGTTTGTAAGGTGAGTAATTTCTTGTACAATGGTGACTTAGTTACCTGTAGGAATCCCGATGATGCAGCACACCCTGCGGCAGCAGGTACCAGCAGCAGGAAGCTGCAAATTGCATTTGGTCTAACTATTGGCATGGCAAAATCCTAATTAGAAAATATTTTTTCTATATCCAAGCATACACATACATACAAGCACACAAGTACCCCTGCTGGTAGACTTTAAAAATAAAATTGTTTCTTTGGTGGAAGTTTTCTAAATAGTCTGTCAAATATCAAAACCTGAAAACACAGCCTGTTTCTCTGTAAAGACAACCAGTATTTTCCATTCCATTTGTATAAGTTTAAATTAATATAATGATTATAACATACCATGGGAAGAACTAACATTTACTGTGCACTTACTATGCTCTAGACCAGGCATCCTCAAACTACCGCCCGCGGGCCACATGCAGGTGTTTTTGCCCATTTGGTTTTTTTTACTTCAAAATAAGATATGTGCAGTGTGCATAGGAATTTGTTCATAGTTTTTTTTTTTAAACTATAATCCGGCCCTCCAACGGTCTGAGGGACAGTGAACTGGCCCTCTGTTTAAAAAGTTTGAGGACCCCTGGTCTAGACACTATAAAAGGTATTTTATGTATAACTCATCAAATCCTTAAAATAACCTTTTGAAATAAGCAGAGCAGTTCTTATAATCCCCACAATAAAAACAGGCAATTGAAACTCAAAGGTCTCAAGTGCATCGCCCAGGATCTCCTCACCAATAAGGACAAAATTAGACCTTTTAGGTCTAGCACAGTGTTCTTCCCAGTATTCCATAAATAATTTTTGGTAAACATTTTCATTTATTTCCATTTTTGTCTCCATTGTACTTTTGAGTGCAGTATTTCTTTTTAACTCTCTATTTTGAAAACAGATTCACAGGTCAGGGGGTACATAGTTGGAATTATATATGTTGAATAAGTCTAGATATCTAAAAGTACAGCATGAAGACTACAGTTAATAACATTGAATTGTATACTGGAAATTTGCTGAGAGCAGATTTTAGGTGCTCTTACCACACACACACACACACACACACACACACACAAAGTAACTATATGAAATGATGAATATATTATAATTGGCATGACTGTGGGAATCATTTATCTATGTGTATGTGTATACCAAAACATCATGTTGTGCACCTTAAGAATATCCAACTAAGAAAAAGATTCACAGAAAGTTGCAAAGTACAGGGAAGTTCTACGCATCTTCACTCAGTTTCCCCCAATGGTGACATCTTGTGTAACTATACTAGAATATCAAAGCCAGGAAATTGACATTGGTACAATCCATAGTGCTTATTCAGATTTTACCAATTACACACTCACTCATCTGTGTGTGTTCATGTAGCTGGATGATGTTTTATCGCAGGTGTGGCTCCATGTAGCCACCACCACAGACAGGACTTTTCACTACGCTGCCATCCCAAGGCTCCCGCATGCTACCCCTCTGTAGCCACACCCACTCCCTAACCACTGACAACCACCGATCTGTTCTCCATTGCGGTCATTATGTTTTCTGGGTATTTGTAATTCATTTTGATATTTGCAATTATATTTAAAATGTTATATTGTAAAAATCATGCAGTGCATTCCTTCTGAGATTGGCATTTTTCACTCAGCGTAATTCCCTGGAAATTCATCCAAGTTATCACATGTACCAATAGTTCATTCCCAGTTATTGCTGAATAGTAGTCTAAGGTGTGGTTGTACCAGTTTGTTTGTTTTTTTAGTTTCATCCATTCTAATAAGTATGTAGCAATATCTCATTGTGGTTTTAATTTGCATTCTCTAATAACTAATGAAGTTGAATATCTTTTCGAGTGGTGAAACACCAGTCTATGTTTTTGTCCATTTCCTAATAGAATCCTTTATCTTATGAGTTTTGAAAGTTTCCTATACACCGTAGATACAAATCCTTTGTTGGACATGTGATTGCCCACAGACATTCTCTAATATGTTTAGCTGGTGAGGGCTTTAAAAATCTAATCATGCTAGAGTCCAAGGGATTAAATGAAGGTATCGAGCATTTAAACACTGTGTGCTTTATTAGAGACCAACAGAAAGCCTGGGCTAAGCTTCCACAGAAGAAAAAATACGAAACAGACACAAGACCAGGGATATTTCAGTGCAGAGTTGTGAGATGTGGGCAGGGCACAGGAGAAGGTCTGGCCTGGGCAGGTGCTCTGAGGTGGGCTCACAATCCTTCCCCACCTATGCCCTCTCTCCCTGCCTGCTGGTCTCACCCGCCATTTCTGCAGCTCACGCGCCACCTGGTGGGCTCTGTGAACTCAGCAGGGTCCTGCACAGAGCAATGTCATCTTTGTATTAATAAAACCCCTGTGTTCTCACCCAGGTTTCTCCAGAGGAATTAGCTACACATGATATTATCTCTACCCTCCGTGACCTTCTTCACACATGGCAGCTTCCAAGAGGGAAGCCAGCTTGGATAGTACTCAATGCTTTAATTTTGGGGGGCAATAAACCACCTAAAAGGGAAAAGATGGCTGAGAGAGGCATTAATGCAGAGGAATCCAGTAACAACATTTATCAACAAGCCTCACGGGGTTCCTTATGTGGCTGCATGCTCACCCTGTGGAGTGTTGCTTCACAGATTCATATCTTACACAGGTTTAACCAACACAGCAAACATTTAAAATGACAGCTGTCATAATATTTAATATTTAGATCATGTAGCCCAGGATCTTTTAAATAGAAGCTTATACGGCAAACCTGCACATGTAAGGAACATAAATGTGGTGGGAAGCAGGAAGTGAGGGGGAGTATGAACCTACAGGTTCAGTAGCTCCTCTCCACATGACCCCAAAGGAGCCCACAGGGGCTCCTACAACCCCTTAGACGACAGATCAAAAAGCACCGAGAAACCCACAACCACATTGTAAAGTGGTAAAAGGGGTCCAGAGACCAGTGACCTGCTGGCAGACACACGACAATTTAAGGCAGAACCAGGATTAGAACCCAAGTGACTTACCCAGTTCCTTGTGACACCTTCACTCTAAATACTTGGGATGTCTCAATACCTTGTTTCAATGAACTCCTAATGCCAGAGGTCAAGGTTCTTATGGGGCATGAAACAGCATTGTCACCTTCCCCAAATTAAGTTAAAAGCTAAACTCATAAAATGAGAAATCATGGCATATACAATAGGAAATGCCCGCAGGCCAGAAACCCACCCTGGGTCCTTACCGCCCAGCCCTCAGACACAGAAGCAACAGCTATCGCAGGCATCCCTGTTTGGTCTTTGCCTCTGCTGAAGCCATGGAGAGAAGCCCTCACCGCCTGACCACGGTTCCATGTTTGCCTGTTCGTCATGACCCCTGGACCACTACAGAGCAAGCTAGGCTGTGAGAAGTGGCTCAGAGGGTGGTTTTGGGGGTGCTGAAGCCAGAGGGTGTGTGATGAGGGACCAGAAGGGAAAGTGGCCTCAATGAGAGACTCAGTGCCACCAGGGGAGCAGCACAAGAGCCCTGGTTGCTGGGATAGAGAAGATGATAGAGTCAGAAAAGCAAAGAACACTGTATATGGACGACTGAATTCTAGCCTTTTACCTTTTGCCGATAGCCAGGCCTGGGGCAGCAAGGCTTAATTTTGGAGGAAATCAGATCTCCGCCCTCTGGCCATGGTCTGTGGCCTAGAGAAATAATATCAGACAATTTCATGTTAGAAGGTTTTTGCAAACTCTGCCAAATTGACAGATATGAATTTCATTTCTTCCTCACTGCCCATTCTAACCCAACCAAGGGAGAATGCTACATCCTGGCAGAACCTGAGCACTGGAAAGGAGCATGTAAGAGTGGACTAAGGCGGTACAGAGTGGATGGTGAGCCTGGGAGGGAGAGTTTGTTCTACTCCCACAACCTCAGCTCTTCAGGAAATGTATCACCCTGTGCAAAGAGTTTTCAATCTTTTATCATCACCAGTGTTTAGAACCAACTGTATCTTGCCTTGACACTAGAGGCACCTATGTTAATTAAGATGACAACAGCTGCAAAACAGGTCATTCATGAAACCTCAATAAAAGCTTCTCACCCAGGTGAAGTCCAAAATAAATGTTGCTGATCATTGAGTGACACTTCTTAATAATTTAGGAATCAAGATTCTTTCCATTCTATGTCACTTCACTTTCCTCCAGTGGTTTCAAAATTCACCTGGGAAGGTAAGAGAACAGGAAGGATTGCCCATGGGGCGCTTGGATGGGCCAGGCCTGGAAGTGGCACCTGCCAACTCCACTAGCAGCCTATTGGCTAGAGCTCCATCACATGACCAGACCTAGCTACAAGGGATACTGGGAGATATAATCCCATTGCTCAGGAAGAGGGAAAACACATTCTCAGCACCAAAGTCACATGTACACCTTGGTGTAATTTTACCTAATAACGACTTTTCCAAGGAAACTATAGATATCCTGGGCTTATGTGCAGCAAAGTTGTAAAAGTACTTCCATAAAGCCTTTCCAAAGCCTGCCTGTGGTATTATATGAAATGTTTAATTTTAGGGACTGGAGAAATACATCATTTTCATTGTATAGTATTTTAGCACTTTTAAAATGATTTTGCAAACATTCTTTCATTTGATTTTCTCATTGCTCTTCTCCCAGTGTCTACAAACATCATTCAGTTAAGGAATCTTGACTGGTCGTCCACTCTGCCAGGCTCCTGTCTGGGCACGGGGGATGTCATGGTGAGGTGAACAGGACAAAGATCCCCTCCTCCCATTGTTCTTGCACCCTTGTGAGGAAGAGCAGCTTGTGTTTACAAATAAAAAGTAAATAAAAGATGTGCAGGATACTTTAAGATGCTGACAAGAGTACCAAAGAACAAACCAGGGTGGAGTCACGGAGGCTGGAACTTGGAGTGTGTGTTTCAGTGCTCCCAGGAATTTGTTTTAATCGGGTGTGGTAAGATGACAGGCACAGAGACAACTGCCTTGAAAGGGGAGTTTATCACGCACAGTTCCCACAGGAGGGGGCATGGCACACCATGCAGGGCCACCCGGGGAAGCAGCAGGGCTGTTCAGGAGGCAGAGGCGACGAGGGAAAGCATGGGTGAGAGCCTGTATTCTGGATTTCACAGGAAAGTATGAGGGAGGCAGGCTAGACAGGTCACACAAGTTTAGGATTGAATACTTTGGATAGTTTCAGTAGGCTATGGACTATAGGAATAGCCCTGAGTTGTCCAATACCTGGCCTGGGGTGATTTAGGACAGAGGGAATATTGGCTTGGTGAGAGTTAGATAAAGGAGGTGGTTGGTGCATGGGCTTGGTTGGTTTGCACGGGAAAGACGTGTTTGAAGGCAAGTGATTTCCCACCCCTATGCATTCACTACCCCTGGATGGGGCAGTCTCTTTCAGGATGAGCCAAGGCCCCAAGATATCCAAGCATCATAAAATACAGAAAATAAAAACATAATTAAGACAATGTGACAGTAAGTACACAAATTTAGAATGGAGCGTCAGCAAAGTCTTCCTGAGGAGCTGATACTGGGGATGAGATTAGAACAAAAAGATGGCAGCCACTCGAAGACGCAAGCGGAGAGCATGCCAGACGGAAGCAGCACTGAGGCCAGCAAAGCTCAGCCCATCTCAGAGAGCGGAAGAGACCAATGTGGCTGGAATCGTGAGTGAGGAGAGGGGACTGGGAGATGGGGCCAGACAAGCAGGCAAGCAGGACTCTGGAAGGCATGGCAGGACTTTGGGTTTTATTCTAACTGCACTAGGAAGCCACTAAAGGGTTTTATAGGGAGCAATGTGGTCTGATTTGCATTTTTAAAAGGTCACCCCGGCTGTGGAGTGGAGAATGAATTGCGAGTGGGCACCAGTGGGAAGCAGGGAGCTCAGTTAAGCAGCAGGTACACTAAAGCATGGCTTGAGAAGTAAGACAAAGTTTCTTCCCCTGTTTATTGGTATAATTCTCATACCTGGTATGAGAATACCGTACTTTATGTAACTTGGCTCGGATATAATCTTTACCACATAAATCACTTATTTATCACTTTCCCCCATAAATCTAAGTATTTCTAGTTCTCAAAATGATCCTCCCACATTTTTCTCACCTGCCATGCTATTGCTGACAGATAGGACCCCAGGAAATTCTATTATTTAGCTAAAAGCTCTCAATGCATTGTCTAGCGTGTGCCCCCAAAAGTTTGGTGACCATGGGAAATATAACGTTTATGAAATAATGGCCCTAACCTGTAAAGAACTGAAAACTTCTACTGCAGACCCAAGAGAATATCCATAACTCCAGAATAAGAAAGATCACCACTAAGAGGAAGAGAAAGGTCCTAGAATACTCTGAGAAGGATTCACAAGGAGATAAGACATAAACTGGTCTCTAAAGAATTGCAATTGGACCTTTTGTACCTCCGAGCACTGAAGATGGGGAAAAGATTCCACAACCCACCCATCACCCACTCACACTGTACAACAGAAAAAAAAAAATTCTTTCATAAAGAATTAGAAAGGAGCATAATAGAAATCAGCTGTTACGAACTGTTAAATGTAAAGCTGAAGGCTTGTTTATGATGTGTTTCATAACATGAAAGTATAAAGATGTCTAAATCATTACAAATGTTAAAAAATAACTCAGTGATTTTAAAACACTTATCTTGATCACTTATTGCAGGTTATCTAAGCAGCACGAAGTCACAGACCCATCAACGTTGAGGGAATCATTCTACCTACGCGTTGCAGAAAGGGGCATTCCCGGGCAGCCGCTTACACATTAGGAGAGTGGGCAATTCCTGTTAGAACCACAGTATGTACATGTTTTAAATTTTAGTTTATGGGAAAGTACAGGTAAACACACATCAAACACATATCAGTCACTCGCCTTTGCAGAGGTGACCAAGCAGTGAAAGCTAAACAAACGACACTTTATAATTGAACATGAGCAACTGAAGACCAGGACCAACTCAAGGCCACACAAATGAGGGGCTGGTACCACGCTGTGGCCCTCGAATACACAAAGACTGAAAGTCTCCAGAACTGCCCGTCATTTGCCCAAGAGAACCAACGGGCCCGTCTGTGGCTGGTCAGGAGAAATGAGTTTCCCATCCTGGGATTCTAACACCGTACAGGCTAGGAGGTCAAGAGAACCGGAGGGGTAGCGAGAGAACACGCGGGTTCTGACCCCACTTCCTGCATTACCCATCCACAGCAGCGCTGGGCGCGACCCGCCGCCAGGCTCCGGTTCAGTGCCGGGTCCAGCCCGTTCCGGAGCCTGCGCTCGGGACAAGCCCAGCAATTCGGCATCACTCCATCCTCCTCAGCTGTCCTCCTCGGGGCTTGGAAAACGTTCATGGTTTCAGAATAACACATGTGAAAGTTTCCCGAACCAACAAAACCCACCATTCGAATCAACATCAATGAGGCTGTCTTGTCAGACACCGGAAAGAGCAGCGCGCTTGGCGTGGGGATGCGCGGCTTAACGACCCGGAAGTAAACACGCTGCCCTGAGTCGCAGTGACCCCAAGCCGGGTCGCGTGAAAGAATTGCGTGTGTCCGACAGTAAAGGCAAGTGTTAGCCGTAAAGCTCCGATAACGAGCATCTTTTTCATCACAGGCTTTGTGCTGCTGCTTAGCGCGCGGCCTTGGCTCTCCCGGGAGCCCCGAGACGCCGTCACACGACAGCCGCCTTCCTGGCGGCTCCTCACAGACCCAGCTCTGCCAGGTGTGTGGGCATGCGCAGGTGCGCTGGGATGGCCTATGTTGAGAAGGCGCCTGAGGACATCTCCTGCCAGTGGGGCCACCGTCCTCTCCCTCGGCAGGCGCCCCCGCACAGTGGCCTGTGGCCCTCCACCTGACCCCGGAGTAGCGTCGCTGTGTTTGATCAGGACCTTGAGAGGAAGCAGGTAAAAACTCCCAAAGAGGCAGCCTCGGGAGGCCCAGCCACACAGAGGACCTTGACAATTATCTGTTGCTCTCCTAGCTGCTCTCTGCCTCCCCTGGTCTTGGAAAATGCACAAGAGCTGTTTGTCTGAGCTTTCGTCTGGCACCCACTCTGCGCTTGCATGCTTCTTGCTAGCCAGAAATAATTAGTATTAACTGGGAAACCATTGTTTGCTAGGCACATTCATGGTCTTTTTACATTCTTATTTGATCCCTCAAGTAAGCCCATGATTTAGGTACCATTTCTATTTCCATGGAAACATGGGAAAAGATGTTAAGTAATTACCCAAGGTCCACAGCTACTGCCGTGCGCCAGGACTCCCACTCAGGTCCAGCTCTGAGCTGCAGATTCTATCCACGATGCATCTGCCCAGCTGTCCCTGCCTGCCCTGCCCTTGGTCCTCTCCTCTCTGCCCTGCATCTGGCTTGTCTCCATCATGCTAGCTCAAGGCTTGATTGGTCCACCTCTTCCAAGGTCCTCTCCTGAATTCTACAGCACGTTTTTGGGTTATTAGAGATAAATGGTACACAAATTTATGCTTAAATCCAAAGCTATCCTACAAAAAATGGGGAGTCTGGCCATACTGTGATGGCATTTCACATAGTGGGTGCTGGAAGCCTGGAGAACACAGTCTCAGGCAGATTCTTCAAGAGGTATTCTAGAAGGCATTGTTATCATCAGAGATATACCTCCATGCCTGTTGCTAGCCCTGACGACCTTCCAGTGGGACAAGGTGTGGGGATGAAGACAGTGATATTGATGATCCTGGCCTTTATAGGCTTATTCTATAAGCTTTTTTCTGTTTTTAATTTTTTATTTTTATTTTTTTCACTTTTTAAACTTTTTTGCTGAAAACTAAGACACAAGCACATACATTAGCCGAGGCCTTCTGCTCTGGAACCAGTATTCCCAGATCCACTGTACCTGGTTTCATTGCCTGCCTTGGCTGGAACTGTTTGAACTTTATTTTGGGGCATTTCAACTTATAGCATCTACTGGGCCAAACCCATGCCCAGCCCCCAACCCAGCCCAGGTCCCTGCCAAAGGTTATCCATACGACACACACAACAAAGAACTCCATGAAGTAAGACAGGCCCCACTCCACCCAAAAAATCGGTATGTGAAGAAGAGCAGATGAAAGAGCAATAAGATCCTGAATAAGAGAAAGTAGAACTGTGAGAGGAGATGCCCACATTTCACACCAGGCTAGATGAACATATCATGGTTGCCAAGGTACCAATCCCACATTTATTCAGAGCTGGCCACATAAACAATTTTCAGTTTCAAAGCAATGGAAAGAATGGATATGAATAATACATTTTTATCTATGCCAACATTTTAAAACAAAGCAGCAGTATTCTATTTGTTCAAATCTGTCTGTTTTACATTATGTTCTAGTACGAATGTTTTAGTAGAAATTTCATTTGAAATGTGAAATTGTTTATGCTACTGACACAAATTCAAAACAATCCACCATCTATGGATTTACCATTGTAATGGATTTTTTAACACATTTATTGTTACAGAATCACTGCAGAGAGCCTACCAATGTAACACAAGTGTGATTCTCTTCATCACATTTCCCAAGGATATTCCTCTCACAGAGACTGAAGGTCTGTGAGCAATAGAGATGCCCTAAAGACATTTATGTTCAGCCACAGAAAAGAAGGACTCAGCTCAAAGCTGAAGTATAGGAAATGTAGAACAATTTGTTTGCTTTACCTCTGTTAGCTTCAAAAGTTTCCAGGACAGAAGTTCAAATGAAAAGAAAACATATCTATAGCTTGAACACCTTGAATACCAGAAAAAACAATCTAGATTTCTAAGCTGTTAATTCCAGTGGTATTTCCAAATCACTACCCAGATTCATAAAACATTAGATGTTACATGTTATATGTCATGTCTAGATGTCCCAGTGAGATCTATTCTTGCCAGTTATTGGGTCTTAACATCTTGCCACAATGGTGAAGTTTGTTTATTTTAGTAGAGACAGGGTCTCACTCTGTTGTACAGGCTGGAAAGCAGTGGCGTGATCATAGCTTACTGTAACCTCAAATTCCTGGGCTCAAGCCATCCTCCTGCCTCAGCCTCCCAAGTAGCTGTTACTACAGGTGTGCACCACTGCATCTGGCTAGTATTTTTTTTTTATTTTTCATAGAGACTGAGTCTTGCTATGTTGCCCAGGCTGGTCTCAAACTCCCAGCCTCAAGTGATCCTCCTACCTCTCAGCCTACCAATGTGCTGGGATTACAGATGTGAGGATTACAGGCCCACAATGGTAAAGTTTGTTTTGTCTGGAGCACATCAACAAATCCCTTCTACAGTAAAGCACAAGTTGCTGTACCTTGTGTCACCATGACTAAGAAGGCACAGTGCTTGGTGGGCCTCTTTGGCAGCCCTCCAAGTCAACTGATATTGGATGGAGCAATATTCTCAAGTCTGATATATGCTATTTCCAAAATCCAGTTTCAACTGTGTTACAGAGCAGAAGAGAGTTCTGCAGCAAACCCGGTTGCCCTCCTAATTGGTCCATAGCCCAGCAGATCAAAAGCACTGAGGGTACAGTAGGTAAGTCTCTGGTAAACCCCCAGTGGGAGGGTCTTAGTGCAAACCCCTAAAGTTTCAGAGTAATACCATCTCAATTGATGCAGAAAAAACATTGGATAAAATTCAGTGCCACTTTATGATAAAAAAATCTTAACAAAATAGGCATAGATGGAATATATCTCAAAATTATAAAAGCCATATATGACAAATCCACAGCCAACATCATACTGAATGGGGTAAAGTTGAAAGCATTCCCACTTAGAAGTGGAATAAGACAAGGATGCCCACTGTCACCACTTCCATTCAACATAGTGCTGGAAGTCCTAATCAGAGCAATTAAGCAAAAGAAGAAAATTAAGGGAAAGAGGAGGTCAAACTATCACTGTTTGCTGATGATCTGATCTTATATCTAGAAAACCCCAAAGACTCCACCAAGTGACTCCTGGAATTGATAAATAAATTCAGACAAG